GTCAACGCTGTTCCCTCCATCCTCTCCCCTGGGTTCTTGGCACAAAGCTGGTTGCTGATCCCCAACCCTGCCTTTCTCTTTACAGGTGTACAGGTCTATTTATTTCTTCGGCCACGTGTTGTTCTTCACCTTACTGCTGGTGTTGCCTTACATTCGCAGATCAATCGTGCCACGGAAAGAAAAGCTAAAAAGAGCAGAATAACAGCCAAACGGTAAGGCTGTACGAGGGAGAGACCAGGAGGTAAAGTGGGGCAGCAGTGCTGCAGCCCAAGGTGAAAGGCAAACACGGAATCAACCAAAGCAAATATAGGGCACCTCTGTTTTTCAGATTGTACCGCCTGTGCATTCGTAGGAGTTGATCTGACACTCCGGAAGCAAAGCATCACCTGCCAAGTTTGCTGTGTTGAAGTCTGACTATTTTTCAACGCAAGGAGGGGGAAGGAGAAAGCACAGGGTCAGAGACCCGAAAGGAGGGGATGCGAGCGAGCCTCCTTGAGCCCCTCCACCTTCTGTCCGTTGCCTTATCTCTGCCGCCCCGCGGCCGGCGCTCGACTCTCCGCTGACACCCCATGATTGTACCACACTCACGGCAGGTGCTGCGTTGGATTGGAGCCACCTTCTGACTTTTCTACGTTTGTCATCTAAGATAAAAATTGCTCCTGGTCTTTTTAACATCGGCTTCAGCTCCTTTCCTCTCGGGTGCCTCGGTGTGGGAGTGTGAACTGTCACATGCCGCCGAGCAAGGCGATTCTACAGGACCAAGTGACACCAGGGCGAGCAGGGCACAGCTAAGAATTCCACTTCTGTGTGACAAATTCGGGCCAAGTCCCTGCTATAAGGGGATCCAGCCTGCCCACACGTGAAAAATGAGAAAGTAAAATTCACGAGCGCTTTTTACTCAAAAAAGGTACCTTTAATAGGAGGAAAAAGGGTCAGTGGGGCAGTCTGTTTAAAGTCTCATTGCTTCAGAAGCTACAAGGACGAAGTTGAATTGTTTTCCAGGAGCCCAAAGATGCACCAGGTCCACACCCAAGTCAAAGAGCCCTTCCAGAATGTGAAGTCACTGTATACAAGTCCATCATGACAACAGTAGCAGCAGAAGCTCATACTATTCCCCACACTTCCTCAAAAGCAGTAGTAATTTTAGCACACGTCAGGGCAGCAGAAAGGGGATAGTTGCTGATGGAGACCATCTTTTCTGTATAGTCAACATTGACCTGGGAGAAGAGGAGGGGAAAATAGAACAAAACAAAAAATTACCAAGTTGCAAAAAGTTTTCACTGAGCCCCATCTCCATTAGTACAAGAAAGACAAAGAGCCACTGGAGAGGGACCAGCAGAGGCTAGACAGATTACTGGGACATGGAACCATCTTTATGAGGAGAGTCTGCAGGGCCTGTTTTATCTGGGGAAGGGAAGACTGAGAGGGGATCCCGTTAATGCACATAAATATCTCAAGGGTGGGTGCCTAGGGGGTGGTGCCAGACTCTTTCCTCTGGTGCCCAGCAACAGGGCAAGGAGCAGCAGCCATAAACTAAAACACAAGAACTTTCACCACAACATGAGGAAGAACTTCTTTACTCTGAGGGCGGCAGAGCACTGAACAGGCTGCCCAGGGAGGTTGTGGAGTCTCCCTCTCTGGAGACATTCAAAATCCACCTAGATGTGTTCCTCTGTCACCTGCTCCAGGTGACCCTGCCTTGATAGGGGGTTGGACTGGATGATCTCCAGAGATCTCTTCCAACACTAACAACTACAGAGGCACAGTATTTCCTCAGCAGGGAAACTGCCAGCCTTCCCTTGGGAGGGACAACAGTCCCAAGTGTTGCAGTTTGGGCCTTTTTTGACAAGCATACAGGGGAAAATAGGGGGCTGGGTGGAGGGGAAACCAAGCCAAAAAGGGCAGATAAAACCTCCATATTCAGAACAAGACTGAAACCTTTTCACAGCCCCAGGTAAGGGACACACACACTTACCGAGCCGTGGGCAAAAGCTCCCACCACAATGACAACTGGATCTGCCGCAGGAACCAGCTCACGCAGATCTGACACCTGTGATGCTGCAAAAGAGGTGCCAATCTTCATACAGCCCACGGGCAGATGGTCAGTCACTGGGTTTTTAATCACCTGCAGAAAGCAGAAAATTAATAGGGGTGTAGAGGAAACAGACCCTGACACATAGCTAGATCTACTGTTTGCTAAAAGCAACAGACAAACAGAAAATTCATCAGCTGTTTGCAGGCTGCATCAGGAGCTCATGACTGGTGCATCTGGAGCAGTCCATCCTCATTGTCCTTGGTGGTGCTGTCATTCCACAGCCAACACTTTGTACTCAGTTCGACATCACAGACTGCCCTCACCCAAAGACCAAATCCCCTTGGGGTACACATCCTGTTTCCCTGTCCCCCTGATTACCCACCAAGTACACTCAGGTCCTTGGGCAAAACCAGTCCCAGATGGGTTGAGGTATGCCCAGGATACAGGTGATGTAGAGGTAGATGAGCCTTGGCTGTGGGGAGCAGTACAATGAATAGCAGAGCTCCCCATGAGCAGCAGTGCAACTCCTGGGTAATCCAAAATCAAAAAAGTCCACGAGACCTTCTCCAAATGACAGTAGGCACTATGGAATGGCCAGGAGAAGCTGAGGCACAGCACTGCTCCCAGAAGAGCATCCCAAGCATCACCTTCTCCTGCAAAGAAGCCATGAAGGACTCACTGGGCAGCAGGGTCAGGATCCCCAGGCACAGGGACAGAACAAACCCCAGCAGGTGTGTCCAAGTGTTGCCAGTCTCAGTGTGTGGCTGGAAGATGTTCTTGAAACGGGCACAGAGGGATGGCACGGAGGACCTATAGTTCCCTTTAGGAAACTCTGTCTCATCTTGGCTAGCAAGCAGGCTGCTGCTGGGATTTAAAACCCCTCTCCTTTGGAGAGTCCAGATTTTCCACAGAAAGTTACAACACACATTTAAGTCATGGTTAGTTCTTCTTTGCTTCTGGGAGTGTTGCTGACCTGCCTGCTGACCTTTGTCCTCGGGCAGATGCACTGGCTAGGGCCAAGCCTTCTCTGCCAAGGTGACATCACCATCAGCTTCCTCAGGCTGCTGCTTTTCTGGCATTTCCAGCACCAAGGGTAGTTCTTCATGTGAGAAATCTGATATCCTGATTAATCCTTTGTCCCTGTGGTTAATCCAGTCTTCCCCTCTGTGACTGCAGAAGCCATTCCAGTTAATTACATCTTCATTTCCACCTCTCTCTGCCTTTTTAAAAGCTGTACCCGAAAAGTGTCAATGTCCAGGTGTGGCAGTCAGGTTCACTTGAGGAAACAGATCCCTCAGCTCCAAGGACAGGTGTGTTTGGGGTTTCCTTCCTGCAGCAGCAGCTCCTGGCCAGGTAGCACGTGGGAGAGCCCCCCTGGAACCAGCACCCCCAGCAAGGATGGGATAGAATTGCAGCCACACCCGCAACCAAAAAAACCCCACACCTCCCCCACAAAAAAATCCCTCCTGCATTGCCATTAGAATGTTGCAACATTAGCTGTGAGCAGTTACAGAGTATTTACCTTCAGCAGTTTCTGGGGCCCATCAGCTGCTCTAACACTGAGCTTATGCAGCAGCTGAACTGACAAAGAGAAAACAAGAAAAAAAAATCACTTAAGCTGCATGGGGATTTGCTGCACGAATCCCATGCTCTGCCTGAGCTGAGCTACACAAAAAGCCCACTTTTAGAGTTCCCATCACAGTCTGAAAATACTTATTTTGCTGACAGCACAGCCTCCTGCAGGCACTCCCCACTGTGCTAAGGAGCACACAGCTAGGGCATGCATCCTGCAACATCCCAGAAAGATGCTTTCACTTCTGTGCTCTTTTCTCACTTTCACATTTTATGGCCACGGCCAGTTTTTGACTTTTCCCTTAGTTCCCCCAGTCCTGATCACCTTCCTGCATTATTATATAGCTGGTAGAGAGTTTACCATATCAATCACATACCCATAAGTCCACAGAATCGATCAAAAGTTCTTGGGATTCTGGTTTGGGGATTGATTTCAATGAGAACATTCTTCCTGGTGTGGATGTAAACCTGCAGGAGCCCAGCCCGGTTCAGGGGGCTGTCCATCAGCATCAGGAGACTCTGAAAGCCAAAAGCACACGGTAGTGGAAATAGAAAGGCACAAGAGAGAGAATTCTAGGGAAAATGGGCGGTTAGCCCCCACAGATGCAGAAGGGACCGATGTCGAGGCTGAAAGCTCATCCCACTATGGGATGTGAGGCTATAACGCTAAGAAATCAAGCCCAGACCCAAACAGCGACTCAACCCAAAACCCACCAGCGTAGCGGGGGAGGCCAAACTCGCCCCCGGGCTCCAAGATCACAAGCGGACCCGCGGACCCTCGGGACGATGGCCCGGAGCCGCCGTGCCGGGTACCCCGGGCAGCCCGGGCCGCCGCAGGCGCGCCGCTCCCCGCGGGTACCTGGTGCGTGATGTCGGGCCGCACCTCCCCGGGGTCCCGGCCGTTCCGCAGCAGCAGCGCCTTGTGCTTGTCGCAGTTGAGCAGCTCGAACGTCTTCCCCACCTACGGGCAAAGCACCGACAGGTCAGCGGGGAGCGAGAGCATCCCCAGCGCGGCCCGGCCGGACCCGCCCCGATCTCCCGCCGCCCGCACCTTCACGGTCTCCAGGCTCGCCCCCTCCAGCACGACCAGGAGCCGGCGCTTCCCGCAGGACCGCTTGGCCTCCACCGAGCGCCCTTCATCATCTTCATCCTCCTCCCGCGCGTCCCCACGTGCCCGCCTGGGCGCCGCCATTTTGTCACGCGGCCCCGCCGGCCCCGCCCCGGCCCCGCCCTTCCCGCCGCGGCCACCCAAGATGGCGCCGGGGCGCGCCCCCTATCTAGCTCCGGCCGGACCCGCTTCCGGAGCGCCTCGGCCGCCGCGCCGGAAGGCGAGTGCTGGGGGCGGGAAGGGGCAGCGGGGGCGCTCCTGGCGCCGCGGTTTCCCGCCGGAGCGGCACGGCGGTCGCTCCTTCCGGTGTCCTTCCCGGCGGGGGCGGCGGCGGGGCGGCCATGGCGCAGAACCTGAAGGACTTGGCGGGGCGGCTGCCGACCGGGCCCCGCGGCGTCGGCACCGCGCTTAAGCTGCTGCTGGGCGCCGGTGCCCTGGCCTATGGCGTGCGAGAGTCCGTCTTCATTGGTGAGTGGAGTTCCCCCTAACCCCTCGGATCCTTCATGCCCGCCACCCGTGCTGACCGAGCCTCCGCTCTCTCCCCGCAGTGGAGGGCGGCCAGCGCGCCATCTTCTTCAACCGCATCGGCGGCGTGCAGCAGGACACCATCCTGGCCGAGGGGCTGCACTTCAGGTAGGGCCCGGCCCCCCCGGCCCCCTCCCGGGCCCGGCGGGGCCCTCGCCCCTAACGCGGCTCCGCTCCCGCAGGATCCCCTGGTTCCAGTATCCCATCATCTACGACATCCGAGCGCGGCCGCGGAAAATCTCCTCCCCCACCGGTTCCAAAGGTGAGACACAGGGGCCTCGAGGGGGGAGGCACGGGACTGGAATTCCGCCATAGTGTTGGCGCTTCTCACACAATTATGGAACGCTAAAGGCTTGGAATAGACCTTAAAAATCGTTTAGTCACAGTCTCGTGCCGCGGATAGCGACTCCTTGCACCAGACCAGGTTGCTCAAAGCCCTGTCCGACCTGGTCATGAACAGCTCCCGGGCTGGGCCATCCACAGCTTCCCTGCACAACCCGTCCCAGTGCCTCACCAGCCTCTCCGTAAAGGATTTCCTCCTAATTCCAACCAGAACGCCCCGTGGGTGCCGCTGCTCCTTGTCCTTGTCCCATCCCGGCTGAGGGCTGCGGGGGCTCTCCCTGTGCCCCAGCCCTGACCCGGCTGTGCCCGCAGACCTGCAGATGGTGAACATTTCCCTGCGGGTGCTGACGCGGCCCAACGCGGCCGAGCTGCCCAGCATGTACCAGCGCCTGGGGCTGGACTACGAGGAGCGAGTGCTGCCCTCCATCGTCAACGAGGTGCTCAAGAGCGTCGTGGCCAAGTTCAACGCCTCGCAGCTCATCACGCAGAGGGCCCAGGTGAGCCCGGCCCGGAGCTGCTGGGTGGGGGGAGCAGGGGAGGGAAGGGTGGCTGTGCTCAGCTGGGGAGTGCATCCTCATGGGAAACGTGTCCTACGTACAGTTTGATTCCAGTACAGGTATAAATACTGTGTTGGCAGCTTCCCAGGAGTAAATTGGGTGTGTTGGTGCACAGAGTGCACCAGAATGTAACATTAGGGGAGAAGGAGCCGGTTTGCTTAATTGTCCACAGGTGTCAGTGGACCAGCCTTTTAAAATACAGATCTTGCAAAGACTGTCAGAGCAAATTAAGCAGTTTTGAAAGATCTGAAAAACAATGGGAATGAGCAGTTAACAAAGCACTAACTTGTCAGTGATGGATGCTTCAGAAGGTCACAGATAACTTCTGTTCACTATCACAGAAAGGGTCAGGTTGGAAGGGACCACAGAGGGTCATCTGGTCCAGCCTCCCTGCTCAAGCAAGGTCATCCCAGAGCACATGGCACAGGATTGCATCCAGATGGTCCTGGAATGTCTCTAGTGAGGGAGACTCCACAAGCTCCTTGGGCAGCCTGTTACAGTGCTCAGTCACCTGCACAGTAAAGAAGTTATTTTTCATATTCAGGTGGAGCTTCTTGTGTCCTGGTTTCTGCCCATTGCCTCTTGTTTTATTGTTTGACATCACTGAGAAGACCCTGGCTTAGTTGTCTTGGCACCCTCCCTGCAGGCACTGATTAGAAAAGACTTGGACTGTTCTCTGGGGGAGTGTTGCAAAATATTAGAAACATCTAGCTTTAAAATGCCTGTTGTGAAAGTTTGTATTGTAATAATTTGCCAGGGATTCTGAGAGCTCTCATCCCTTTAGAGCTGGTGCAGAGAGGGTGTGCTGCTCTTGTTGTAAAAGGTGTTAGAGGAGATCCTGCAGGACCAGGACAGTGCTGAAGAGGAAAAGTTGTTAGATGAAATACAAAGCATCTCTCAGCTATCGCAGACCACATCTCTCATCCATGTCAAAAGAACCAAAGAGTAGAACTGAGTGTCTTTAGGTTTTGTTGTAAGAAATTATCTGCATCCCCCTGGTGAGGGGCTTCAGGGTTTTGTGCTCATCCACATGGAGTGCACTGCAGGGATTTGTTGGTCTTCATGTAGAAAGAGAATGCATGGAGAGGATGGGACAGCAAGGAGTATCTGTGAGGGTTTCAGCTGTGCTGGAAGCAAAAGCTGTTAAGCACCTGTGATCTCAGATGAGAATCATTCTTTGATCTCTGAAATTTTGGAACAAACTGAGTTACATTTGCCTTTTTGTCATGTATCCATCCAGTGCTTTTTATTATAAAGTTGTGTGGCATTGAAGGGATTGATAGAAAAAAAATCAGTGATTTCATGTAATTGTGCACTCACAGTTCCCTCAGGAAAGGTTTCTGCCACTCTTTAGAGTTCTGCTCATAAACTGCTGCAGTAAAAGTAAAAGCAAATGCTCTGCTGGTCAAGCATGTGATACTGTAGCAATAGTTTCTGTTTAAGTCAATATTTGGTGCAGGACTTGTCAGGCTACCTGAAAAAGGTGCTGGGAAGTAAGAGTAGAATAAATCAAAGTGCCTAACAGCAACACCCAGCCAAAGCAGCCAAAAAAAGCGGAGTAGCTACACGAGACAAGTAGCTACTGTATTAAGAGATGTGATACAGGTTAAAAAAATTATGTGGTCATTTCTTTTTTTTGTGTTGTAGTACAGTTATGAAAGCACAGCCTGCAAACAGTGGCAAAACCAGGGTGGATAAAGAAAGGCTTATTGCCAAAACTGTGGGAACTATGGAACTGGATGTAGCAGGATGTGAAAGCAAAAGATGCTTTCAAGGTTTTTTACTTTCACAGTGTTACTTGCATAGAGCAGTTTAGTAGTAACTGTAAATGAGCTGTAATAGAGTTTTGAAAATGCTTTTTGTGGCTGTGGATATGTTACTCAGAGGTGGTGTTGATGTCCATGGTTTGGAGCTGGGGTTGGGGAATGTCTCTCCCAACGCTGTGAGGAGCAGTTGTGCTTTGTTTTTGGAGTGCTCAGAAAGTGAGAGCACCCTGTGCTTGGGACTACTCTTGTTGCTGTGTGTGTGTTTCAGGTGTCTCTGCTCATTAGGAGAGAGCTGACAGAGAGAGCCAAGGATTTCAGCCTCATCCTGGATGATGTGGCTATCACAGAGCTCAGTTTCAGCCGTGAATACACAGCTGCTGTGGAGGCTAAGCAAGTGGGTGAGTTCCACTGGTGCCTGACAAGGGTGGATTGCCTTTGCCTTTTCACTGAGCTATTAAACAAGGAGGTGAAATTTGGGCTAGTGTGTCACTGCTGTGTCACTGTATAAGTTCAGGCACAGGGTTACAAATCTCTAAGCCTCCTTAGTAACAGAGCTGAACAGGTTTATTTTGTAAGTGTTACCAGAAAGCCGTAGCTAATGGGATAGACCGCAGGAGGGACTGAGTTCCCAAAACTAAGGTTCCTCTTCAGACTGGGACTCTGTCACTCACTGTGGGGGATACATGTGGAGGCTCTGGGTGCTGTGGGTTTTACTCAAGAGAAGGTAAAGTGCTCTCAGGTATGTTTTGTACTTGGATGTGGTCCCAGAATGTTACTGGTTCTTTGGGAAGCAGAGCCCCTGGTCTCAGCTGTCAGGTTCTGATGGAAGAGACAATGTGTTTCCAATGCCCGTGTCCCTTCTCCCTGCAGCCCAGCAGGAGGCACAACGTGCCCAGTTCCTGGTGGAGAAGGCCAAGCAGGAGCAGAAGCAGAAGATAGTTCAGGCTGAAGGAGAAGCGACAGCTGCCAAGATGATATCCTGCTTCAGGAGATTTTGTGGGATGTGGCTTGTGAGCTTGGCAGTGCTGAGGATCTGTCACACTGGGCTCATGCTTAGGAGACTGTGATCTGTTGATAGCTCCAGTAGGTCACTGTTCTTTTTTCCCTTCCTGCAGTCGGCTGGAGCGAGGTTTGTCTGAGGTTACAGGCCATGGGCCTGCGCTCCTTGTTGTAAAGTTTAACTTTCATTGGCTGTGTGTGACCATAATCCATAATGCTCTTACCTGCGCAGGTGAAAATATGCCTACCCAAAGGCTCATGTTACTGGGAAAGAGATTGCTTTTTACCCACTGAGATGTTCTTTAATATGGCTTAGGAAGAATTCCTTGAGGGTAGGTAGCTTCTGTTTGTGAGATTTTCCTTAACTTTGGTTCCCTTGTACCTCGGGGAAGCTCTCAGCAGGAATCCAGGCTACATCAAGCTACGTAAGATCCGAGCTGCTCAAAACATCTCAAAAACGGTGAGCATTTGGGCACAGAATTCCCTTTGTCCTTTTGCAGTCCCTGTGTCCCCCCAGCCCAGTGGCCACATGATGAATTTAAGGCGAATGTGATCTGCCCTGTCCTGATCTTTGTTCCTGCCCAGCCCTTCTCTGCTCAAGTAGAGCTTAAGACTTAGCAAGGATCTGCAATTAGATGTGAGGCTCAGAGTTCATGCCCTTCATATGACATGGCCAGATCCACATCAGATTCCATCACCCACCCTCTGCTGCAGCCACCCAAAGCTTCTGGTTAGCTGCAGCTGAGAAAGGGGGACAGATAAATGTGGGATCAAAGGTCTTTGTGACAGAGATACAGAATGAACGCTTATTTTAGAATGTCTGATGGCTCTGGGATGGGAACTCAGGAACTAGGGAGTTGTTTTGGGGAATTGCATTGATTTAAATGAGATCTTAAGTAATTAACAAGAGTGCTGTATCTGGACGGGGAGGTGGGTTCCTGGTGCTGTTCTTCCATGTCCATTTTTAGTCCTGGATGCCATGTCTGTAATGTATTTCTTTTTCAGATTGCTGCCTCGCAAAACCGTGTGTATCTCACAGCAGATAACTTGGTACTGAACCTGCAGGATGAGGCCTTCACCAGGTAAAGGGGCTGGGTGCCTGGGTTTGTCTGCATCCTACCTGGGAAGCTGCTCCCCTTTCTGGAGCTCTCTCAGGATCTTTTTCTGAGAGGACCCCAATGTCAGAGGATATAGCCAAGTAGGGAGCAGCCTCTCCTACTGTGGGAATGGGGTTGTTTGTTAAATCTCATCAATTTACTCTTGGTTTTTTTTCTTTCCCACCCTGCACCCCTTACTGCATCTGCTGACACAGAGGAAGGTAAGGCACTGCATGTTTTGATCCCTTTGTTAGTACTGGAACCAGGGTGTTGCTGTTTCCTGGTGCCTGGCATGTTTCTGGCCTGGGCCATTTTGGCCCCAGCAAGTTTATTCCAGTCCCCACCTCAATTCCCATTTGTGATGTGAAACTTGAAGTTTTCCTTGCAGGGAGCCACACAAACATGTACATGGAGTGTGCAGTAATTGGAGCTCCATGTGTGCCTCGTAGGGAGCCTTGCATGGGAAAGGCAGCAGTAACTGTGGAGCCTTCTCTGAGCTACCACATGCGCAGGGCATCCTGTGGTTATGGCAGACAGGGCTGTGAGGAGACAGGAAGATGATCTTGGGAATCTGCGGTGGTTTGGGCTGATGATCTCTAGGGAAGATGCTTTTATTATTGTCCAAAAGCTTTCCAGTTCATGTGAGACCACTCCATCTCCTGCTTTCAGAGCTGTCAGGGAATTTGGTGGCTTTGTCTAATCTGTCCAGTGTTTACTGAAAAAGGCAGTGCCAGCTGAGCTAACAGGATGCAGCTGAAAGCTTAGATTTCTCAGAACTGAGAAGGGAAACCAGACTTGGTTTCTTTTCTCTGGGATCTTTGATTATAACATCCTTTTTCCTCACTTCTGACCAGATTCTGTTACATTTGTTCCAGAAGATTTAAGGGGCTTGGGAAAAAAAAACACCTGCCTAATAGGAAGGACTTGGAAGTCCAGATCCTTTGGGTGTGACCCATACCTCAGAATCCACATTGAGGGGCTGGTACAGCTTTGCTTGTCCTTTCTGGTGACTTGTACTGATGACTCCCTTCTGTCTCCCTTTCAGTGACAGCCTCCTACCCAAAGGCAAGAAATGAAAGAAGCTGAAGATTCCTAGAACCAGCGTTGCTGACCAGCAGAAGATAAGAGTGAGGATCTTTGAACTCCCTCCACTAGTATTGTTTGTCCTCACTATGAAGTTTTTAATCCAGTAGCCAGATTTTGTCCCCATGCCTCTGCTCCATCTGTGGTGATTCAGTTACAGGAATGGGCTCTGCCTCTAGGTAGCTGCAATTCCTTCCTCATCCCACCAGTTAAATTTGGAGAGGGGGCAAAGGGGCTTACTGGTATTAACCCATGTGGATATTTGCCTCTAATCTTCATTAATATTTAGATTTCTGTAGGATATCAAATTATTTTCTGGCCAAGTGAGGGAGTTCTTCTGCCATCAGCACCAGGCTTTTTTTTCTAGTAAATTTTGATTCTCTCTCACTCTTGATCCCAAGAGAACCTGGGACTGAATTCAGGACAATGCCATTCGTTGGGTGCCTGTCACTGCTGGAATATCTTACTTGTGTCACTGTCTGCTCAGTGATGCTTTCAGATATTTGTAAAAATTAAAGAAAAAAAAACAACCAAATTTTTATTGTGTCTAAGTGTGCTTAGTGCATGGGGAAGAAAGTGGTTATTTTATGTAGTGAGAGATGGAACAGAGATTTTATTTGGTTGAAATTGGAATGAGGATGATGAAGGGAAAGGAACAAAAGAAAGAAATTCACTCCGGGTCACTGGCAGATCATCACAGTGTGGGGAGAGAGGAGAGATGTTTGGATGCTCACAGAGCTGTGTGGGTGACCAGGCTGGTTCCTTAGCTGCCTGTGAGGAGGGGCTGCAGATGAGGGTAGGTTTACCTGCTTTTCCAGGTCACAGCAGCATCTCTATGCTGTGTCCTGGCCTCCATTGTTACACCTTGGGCTTTTTCCCCTCTCTGCTTTCCTGGCTGAAAAGAGAAGGAGGAATCTTCCTCCACTGACTACACTGACTAAACTCTGCTTCTGTTTCAACAGCAAGATCTTGTGTCCTTTAGGGGGAGCTTATTTGCTGTTTCTCTGGGGTGCTCTATACCAAGATTTAAGGCTTTGAGGTTATCAAAGCCACGTAGAATCATAGAATGTCCTGAGTTGGAAGGAACTCACAAGGATGAAGTCCGGGGCAACCTAGAAGTTAAACTTCAGGTGAGAGCATTGTCTAAACACATCTTGAACAGAGACAGACTCAAGGTTATGGCTGCTCCCCTGGGGAGCTTGGCCACCCTGTAAATTATTCTTTTTTTCTGATATCCAACCTGAACTTTCCCCTGTGCAGCTTTGAGCTATTCCCTGTGTCCTGTTGCTGGACACCAAAGAAAAGAGATCAGCACCCCCCTTCTGCTGCCCCTGATGAGAAGGTGTTAGGTCAGCCCTTGGTCTTCTCCAAGCTGAATTAACTTTGTATCCTCAGCTGCTCCTTGTAAGTGACACATTTCCTTACTGTCTTTGTTGCCCTCCTTTGGACACATTATAATTATTTTTATATCCTCCTTGTATTGTGGAGCTTGAAGCTGCACCCAGTGATGGTGGGGCTGGAGCTGAGTGCAGTGGGACCCTCACTTCTTTGGCCAGCTCTGTGCTAGCACAGCCCAGCACAACACACCTGGCAGGGCCTGCCATCACTCAGAATGCCCAGAGCCTTTTCTGCAGGGCTGCACCCCAGTCTCATCCTTCAGTCTGTGTTCACATCCAGGATTGCAGCATTCTGGGTGCAGAATCTGGCATTTGCTCTTGTTCAGTTTTGTGTGGATGAAATTGTGGCTGTGTGCTGAATGCTGTCCAGAGGGATATGGTGACACTATCTAAAGCTTTGCCAAAAAAAAAAACAACAAAAAAAACCCACCCATATCTGCCTTCCCTTTGACTACTAGGTGGGTAGCCTTGTTGTGAAAGGTTATTAAATTTGTAAGGCATGACTTTGCCTTCAAGAACTTGCATGCACTTTGATCAACGACTGCGTTGTCTTTCAAGTCTTTTCCTTGATAACTTCCAGACTAATTTTCTCCACAGTTTTACCAGGCACCAAAGTGAAACTGATTGACTTGTAATTACCAAGATCTTCTTTCTTGCCCTTCTTGAAAACTGGGACAACATTTGCCAACCTCCATGTCAACTTATACATATTACCAAGGCTGCTGATTAATAACTGAGAGAGGTTTCACAGTTACATGACCACCTCTTCAGTACCCTGGGAGGAATCTCACTGGGCCCCATAGACTTAGGTGCATCCAGTTGCAGCAGCAAATCCCTTACAAGTTCCAGGTCAGCTGGGAGTTCATCATTCCCCCAGCCATGGCCAACCCCCCCATCATCAGTGTCAGAGGAAGAAGCAAAGGCAGCATTAAATGTCTCAGCTTCATCACTGTTTGGGGATGAGGTGACCCACCTCGTCAAGTGACAAACCTTTACTCTTCCTTCTGCTCTTAACATACTTTAAAATGCCTATTTTTACTCATCATAGTACCAACCAGCTTCAACTCAAGCTTGGGCTTTTTTTCCCTAGAGTGGCAAGGAGCATGTCTGTCCCCCTGCATAATCTGTCCTTTCCAAAGTCCATACACTTTCTGCTGAGTTGCAGAAGGAGCTCCTTGCTCAGCCAAGCCAGCCCTCAGCCTCACTGGCTGGACTTCAGACACATTGTAACTGCCTGTTCCTGTGTTCCTGAAAAGAGGACCCGTAAAAAGTGAGCAGCTTTTATGTACCCCACTGTCCTCTAAAGCAGATTCCATGGGGACCTTACCAACTGCTTCCCTGCAGCCTAAAGTCTGCTCTCCCCAGGTCCAGGGCAGTAGCTTTACTTAGAGTTTTTCTCCTATCTCAAGGACTTTCAACTCAGCTGTTTCATGATCATGATGGTCAAGACAGCCACCCCAGAGACCATGTCTGTTTACAACCAACCATCTCTTTTTACAAACGACTCCAACTTGAGCTCTCCAGGGAAGAAAAGAGGCCTTTAGGGACTTCTTCCTCTGGTGAAGTAGAGCACAAGATCTTTAAAGGAACAGATAAAATCTGTGGATTCCTAGTTTGAAGCTTACTGGCAATCCAAGCCATAACTAATACCTATATATTTGGACTTGCAGCATCACGGAAGCACAAATTCTTTGAACCAGCTTTGAAAATTCATTCTCAAATAGTCGCCCCAAAGTATTTGTGTGTAACAGATCCTATGTAAAGGAGAGTAAACTGCTGTACAGACAGTGCTGTATTTCTTGATGTGCAGTCAGGAAAGTCCTTGTTCAGTCTAAATTTTTTGTAGACCGGACATTATGGGCACATCAAGCTCAGGATTTGAACACAAAGAAGGTTCTCAGTAACCTTGTTCCACAAGATGTCTTCATTTTCAGGCTTCAGGTAGTGTTTAAGCTAACCCTTGGTATGCCTTGCTTTAGGCTGTGGCAGCTGTTTAAGAAGGAAGACAGTGGGTCCTGTCCTTTGAAGCTACCCAGGGGTCTCAGGCAAAGGTAGATGTTTCCTTAGGCTAGGACTTTAGCCCCTTCCCATTACTTACAAAAGGGTATCTGGCATTGTGAAACACAGCGTGTCCCTCCACCCATTTTTACTTCTGCCCCTTATTTCCCCCACTGCCCCTTTCCTGTTTCTTCCTCTAGTGGCAATGGAATGGCAGAGCCAGCTGGGAAATGCACACACAGGCCTATGGGCTCACAGGCTAAGGGAAGCTGAAGGCTGGCACACACAAAGAGGCTCTGCTCACAAAGTCTCTTCTGCCTTCCAAATGCTTCCAAGCAACTTTCTTGCCATATCAAATGACAGCAAGCAGTGTCCTTCCTCCCAATGCATTGTGTATAAATCCTGGTGGGAAGGGGGCCCTGGAAGCCTTTGAACCAGGCTGCTGCTGGCAGTGGCAGTGTTACCAGCACAAGGTCAGAGCAACTGTGGCTTTGTCTGTTCACATTTTGAAAACCCACAAGTAAAATTTAGAT